TAAAGATAAAAAACCTCCCAGTGACAGATATTCATCAAACTACACCAAAAAAGAAACAGTATTGTTAGTTACATTTCTCAAAGCTACTGCAGATTAGTGATCAGAAAAAAAGGAGACTATGTCATTCAAACATTTGAAGAGACTTGGACAGCCTTGAACTAAACTGCTATCCAGTAAAAAGAATGCAGAGAAACCCTAAGCCAGGAGGTAAGCTTTTTACTCATTTTTACTAAAATTCCATGTGCCACAAACGATGTACCTGGTTCCCACTGAATTCAGTGATTACCTACTATTTACTGTGAGCAGCCTCTGTTGTTCCGTATTCCCTCCAGCTGTCATCTCCTTTCTCATTCTCTTCTAAATAATGAAAGCAGCAGGTTTTAAGGGAATAGTTGTGACCAGTCATCAGAGCTCTCAGAACAAAACAGTTTTCCAATGGTTGAACTTTAGAATGAAAAAAATCTTTCAGTACAACCTTCACAGTTTTTTCTCCTTTTCCAGTGGCTTCTAAGCCAAGGTTTAATCATCATTTAAAATGTGGCCCTACTTTCTTACTTCAATTTTACTGCACTCCTATGGACAGAATTCAACAGAAACTTTCATTTCTACAGCACACGTAGGCATAAATGTTTTCATCAAGTCCAGTATCATTCCTATTCTGGGATCACTGGAGAAGAGATGAGAAGCAGCAACCATTTTCCTGGTTCAGACTAGAGTTTCATTTCAGATATTAGCTTACAATGTTGAATATATATCAAAGAGGGCAGCCAGGAAGGAGTAACAGAAGAGAAACAGAGGTTGTTTGGGGTCCCAATAAAAAAGTTGTTCTGTAGCTGTTTGAGAACTTGGCTTCGCAAACTACTTTCTCGGGCCAGAGAAAAACTCCTCCTTAAATTGCTGGAACTGCCCCAAGATATCAATCACAGCAGCCCTGGGGACTAATTTGGTAAGAGGAGACTGCATGTATAGTAGCCCGTGTAGACACAATAGATCATGGTTCAAGCAAGTCTTGTCAAATTTTAACGTACAGAAGAAAGCTGCTTTTATTTGGCTATATTTTTAAGTTAAATGCATTCACTTAAAATAGTAGGAAAAACCTCTGCAAAATAATTACTGGTTCCTTCGGTTCTGAACTAGCAGTAGGATCATTTTTGAGGGAAAAAAGGGTGGGGGGAGTATCATTTACATAAGACAAAATTCTCTTTTCAGTGTCCAGTTCAATGAGTTCTGACAAACTTAAACAGCTCTTGTAACCACACAACGACCAAGCCATGGATAGATCCATCGCTAAAAGGTTAACTCTTCTAAGGTTCCTAAAAGCAAAATTCACCTGTCAACATACTTGAAAAGTAGTTTGGCTTTTGAAACATCACCTCCTTCATTTGGAAATGCAAAACAATACCCTCCAAGTGATTCTAAACCTGTCAACACAAGGAGTGGGTGAGACCCCCGCAGCAAGTGGCGCCCCATACCAATCGGCTCCTTTTTTTTTTCGGAGTAGAAACGGGAGAAAGGATGCAGTTACATCGCCAGCCTGGAGCCACGAGGAGGAAGAGTTTGATGCGGGAATGACAAACTCCAAAGCACTGAATTCTTCTCCCTAGTAGGGCACAGAGCGTGTGGAAGATGACCAGGGCGCGTGGGAAGAAAGATGACCTATTTTCAACGACTGTTTTTATAACTGGAAAGTGAGGGAGAGAAGCAGGGACTAGTCCCCGGGCACCCCCGCGGGCACCTGAGGTTTGGAGAGAGAGGAACATGAAAGCCACACAGCCTTCGCCCAAGCAGCGGGATGACGACGAGGAGGAGGGCGGGAGGGAGGAAGGAAGCGGGTGCGCGAGCCGGCCGCACGCAGAGCCGAGCCGACGAACGCGAGGGAGACGGACCCCGGCCCCACCCCGCGGGTGCCGAGAGGCCGGCGCTCCTTGTACCTGCTGCCACGTCCGGAGCGGCCGGAGCGGGGACCGGAGCGTTGGGTGCCAGGAGGGAAGGCGGGGTAGGGGCGAGCGCGCCCCCGCCCCGACAGGGCCGGAGGTTAGAGGCCGAGCGGCGCTCTCCGACCTTGCCTGGCCCGGGCACCCAGCCCTGCTGCCCGAGCCCGAGGGCACACACCGTCCCCCGCCCCCCAGGCCGGGAGCGATCGGCTGGACGCGGGCCGGACCACGACCGAGGGGCGCCGGCCGGGGCGGGAGGCGGCCTCACAGCGCTCGGGGGCGGCGGCGCGAGTCTGCCCCGCGGGCAGCGCGCGCGGAGGGACGGCCTCCGGCACTCACCTGCCCGCTTGCCCCTTCGCGTAGCGGCGGCGGCGCCACACTCGGGCCAGGACCCACCGTCCGCCTCAACCAAGCCCCAGGCGGCG